TTATGACCCATGTGAAGAGATGAGTCCCACTGCCAAGTTGAGTGAACTATTTCAGAGAATGATACAAACCAAGTGAGTTGTTACTATTAATTAAAAGAGGACCTTGAGAAATAAAAAAGTCACCTCATCTCTGATTCGTAATCAAAGGACTTAAACCAATGAAGGAAAGCCGTAGAGATGGTATTGATAACGAGCCTCTCCTTGGTCTGACTCTAGTCAGGCTGCTCTGAATTCTCTTCCTGACTGGGCCTTGACTTTTGTACTTGTGTGTCCATGTTTGCATTGCCCAATTTTAGTGAGAATCCTAAGTCGGTTTAGCCAGAATGCCCCAGGACTGGCGTCTGGTCATGTTCCTCATCTGATCATGTTCCCCATCCTCCATCATCCCCCAGCTGATGTGCTGATCACCCTGGCCTGCCTTCAGCAAGGACCCTTTGAGGTCCCCTCTTATGCCTGATTGTCTCCTCTCTGTAATTTTCTACCCACTGACACCCTCCCACCCTGCTCCTTGGCTGTAAATTCCTACTTTTTCCTGTTGCATTTGGAGTTGAGCCCAAGCCCGCTGTGGTCCCTATGTCTGTCACAATAATCCCCCTGAATAAAGTGCACCTTGCCAATTCTTTAACAAGTGTCATGAATAGTTTTTTCTAAAACAGTACTCAGTACATTCAGACTTTGTAAACTTTGTTTTGATGTCACTGAAATCAGAATCAGTGCATATTCAGGAAGAGATTTTTTAGGGGGACTTATCTCAAGTCAAAACTCCTGAGATAATTTCAATGGATTCCAAAAAGAAGAGATATTACAGTCATGGTTTCCAACCATTACACATTAAAACTAGAAATTAATGCTAAGCAGATAACAAAAGCTTACCATCTAAAAATATTTCAAAATATTCTAAATAACATTTGGATGAAGGAGGAAATTCAAGATTATTGTGAAATAAATGACAAAAATCCTATAAATCATCACTATGGGTTGTGGCCCTAGCTGTGATCTCAGAAGAATTCATAGCCCTAAGTTCTTTCATAGTTAAGCAAGAAATATTACAATATAAACAAAACATTCAATTTAAAAAACTATAAACAAACAATAAGTTAAAAGGAATTATTAATGATGAAAGTAGAGATATATGCACTGGAAGACAAAAACAGAGCAACAGCAATAAAAACTAAAGTAGAATTGATACATTAAACCAAAATTGGTTCTTGGGGAAAAAACAAATAAATAATAAGTCTGATTGAGAGGGAAAACACAAATCAATGATATTAGAAATGAGAAAGCCTTTTTTAAAATTATAAAAAATTCTTGTGGGCGCCTGGGTGGCTCAGTTGGTTAAGCGACTGCCTTCGGCTCAGGTCATGATCCTGGAGTCCCGGGATCGAGTCCCGCATCGGGCTCCCTGCTCAGCGGGGAGTCTGCTTCTCCCGCTGACCCTCTTCCCTCTCGTGCTCTCTATCTCTCATTCTCTCTCTCAAATAAATAAATAAAATCTTTAAAAAAAAAATTCTTGTGACAATTTTATGCTGTTAAATTTTAAGGTCAAAATAAAATAGACATACATGTAAATTAGTAATACTAATTTAGTGAAGAGGAAATATAAAATCTGGGAGGGACACCTGGGTGGCTCTGTTGGTTAAGTAGCTGCCATTGGCTCAGGTCATGATCCCAGAGTCCTGGGATGGAGCCCCGCAACGGGCTCCCTGCTCCGCGGGAAGCCTGCTTCTCCCTCTCCCACTCCCCCTGTTTGTGTTCCCTCTCTCACTGTGTCTGTCAAATAAATAAATAAAATCTTTTAAAAAAATAAATAAATAAATAAAAAGAAAAATAGGGGTGCCTGGGTGGCTCCGATGGTTAGGCGTCTACCTTCGGCTCAGGTCATGATCCCAGGGTCCTGGGATCGAGCCCCACATCAGGCTCCTGGCTCAGTAGGGAACCTGCTTCTCCCTATCCCTCTGCTCTCCCCCTGCTCATGCTCTCTCTCTCTATCTCTGTGTCTCAAATGAATAAATAAAAAATCTTTAAAAAAATAAAAATAAAATGTCATTACCAAATAGTGCATGTTACAGAAATTCAAAGTTATTTTAGCTGTAAGGGGGAAAATATGATATCAAGATGCATGCTAAGAAATATATTATTGAGGGACGCCTGGGTGGCTTAGTTGGTTAAGTGTCTGCCTTTGGCTCAGGTCACGATCCCAGGGTCCTGGGGCCGGGAGCCTCCTTCTCCCTCTACCTGCTGCTCCCCCTCCTTGTGTGTTCTCTCTCGCTCCCGCTCTATCTCTGGCAAATAAATAAAGTCTAAAAAAAAAGAAATATAGTATTGAATACAATTCAGAAGGCATTCCAACTATTAACATGATATTAACATGATATAAGACATCTATAAGAAACCTAATTAAACATATTTAAAGGTGAAATGGTAGAGACATTCCAATTAGATTCAGAAGCTAGATATAGGTGCCTATTTTCACAGATTTGTTCAGTACTATTTGCCCTCATTAGCCAGTACACAAAGCAAGAAAGTGAAATGTGGTCTAAATATTCCAAAGAAAGAGTAAAATTGCTTTTATTTGTGGATAATATGCATGTCCTCTTAGAAAATCTAATGGAAACCACTGAAAAATTATTAGGATTCACTAGAGTGAAAGAATACAATATAAATACAGAGATATCAATAATGTTTCTGTATATTATTTTTTTTCAAGATTTTATTTATTTATTTGACAGAGAGAGACACACAGAGAGAGAGGGAACACAAGCAGGGGGAGCTGGAGACAGAGAAGTAGGCTCCCCGCTGAGCAGGGAGCCCGATGTGGGGCTCAATCACAGGACCCTGGGATCATGACCTGAGCAGAAGGCAGATGCTTAACGACTGAGCCACACAGGCACCCCTATGTATATATATATATATTTTTTAAGATTTTTATATTTATTTGAGAGAGGGAGAATGGGCATGAGAGGGGGGAGGGTCAGAGGGAGAAGCAGGCTCCCCGCTGAGCAGGGAGCCCAATGTGGACTGGATCCTGGGACTCCAGAATCATGAACTGAGCCAAAGGCAGTTGCTTAACCAACTGAGCCACCTAGGCACTCCCCTCTGTATATTATTAATACACAGAAAATGTAATGGAGCAAAACAAGCCCATTCACATTAGTAACAAAAACTGTAACAGGATTGAGCTTCACAAAGAATATACAATAACACCTATTTGAAAACAATCTAAAAACTTTCCCTTAAATAAAACATAAGAGATCTGAAATTGGAAAACTATTCAATTCAATATTCCTGCACAGGAATACTCCATAGTATAAAGATAGCAATTCTCTCAAAAGTTATACACTGAATTAAAACACTAATAAAAATTCCAATGTGAGTTTTATCACTAGGTAGAAGCTGGAAGGAGAGATTTGACAATTTGATGTTAAATTTATTTAGAAGTTAATACTCCAATATAACACAGGAATTTAAAAAATTACATTAAAAAAAGAATTACAGGAGGAGTCATGCCATAGAAAATACCAAGATTTATTTAAAATTAGATTAGGAAAAAAAATGGGAGGAGTAATAAGACCAGAAGATCAGTAGACCAAAAACAAGGCTATATACATGGGAATGTATAGGTGAAGTTTGGTAGAACATAAAGTTGGCATCTCAAATTAAAAAAAAAAATTGAATTAGTTGATAAAAGGAGCCAGATCAACTGATGATCCATGTAGGAAAAAAAATGTTAAATCTCTACTTTGTTTCTTAAGCACAAACATTTCAGGACAGTGGATTTAGGAACTAAATATGAAAAAGAAAAATGACAGCATAAGAGTAAATACTTTTAAAAATATGTTCAGGGTAAAGAAGTCTCTTCCAAGCCATACAAAATTCACTATATAGTGATTTTAGGATTCTGTACAAGGAAGGGCAAAGTTTAAAAAACAAATAATAGGGGCACCAAGCTGGTTCATATTAATAGATGTACAAATGTGCTGCAAAGTTTGAAAGTGATTCTTAAGGGGCTTTATCTTTCTACATTTTATATTTATGTATTTTAATTTCATATAACTTAAATTGTTTTTATTTTTAGAAAAAATAATTTATTAATACACAGAAAAAAGAGGAAAAAATCTAATTGCTCTCCATAGTCATAAGATTTATTTCAAATTTAGGTTTGTCCCATAGGCTCTCATTTATATTTATTTTAAAGATTTTTATTTGACAGTGAGAGACACAGCGAGAGAGGGAACACAAGCAGGGGGAGTGAGAGACGGGGAGAAGCAGGCTTCCCATAGAGCAGGGAGCCGGATGCGGGGCTCGATCCCAGG